CAGGCTAAGTACAGTCTAAGCGCCACTCTGGTACAAATGTTTTCGCAAGTGCGTTTTAGACTGTTTATGTAGGAACACTTTTCCAATTTTGTAAAAAACTATTGAAAAATGTGAAAATGCCGCCAGCTAAGCACAGTATAAGTGAAAATGTCGTACAGAATTATTTGCAAATGCGTTTAGACTGTGACTATGCGGGAGCACTTTTTCAATTTTGTGTAAATTGGCAAGTATTTTTTTTTGAAATTGAATTCGAAATGAAATGACGATTGTTAATGTTCTTGGGATAAATTGATTTATGATTTACATTTGATTTGCTCAGATATAACAAGATAGCAAAAATAACAAAAGTTACTACAGTATTTGTAATAATGTATTTGAAAACGTTTAAAATTTCTCGAATATTTCATTACGGTACGGGAAGTTCCAGCAATTTGCTTTAAGGCACGATGCCATACACCACTGATTATCCTGATGATTTTGGGACTTTCTATTTTTTTCCAGCTTGGTAGAGATCTGGCCTGGAAGTTTTACAAAGACAACGCCGAGGAATTCAAAAAACGTTTTTCAGGACTTAGACTAGGTGGTCGCATTTTAGAATCAATCATACAAAATTTTGCAACCGACGAAATGGCAGATGAAATCGAGAAATTCTTCAAAGACAATCCTCTGCCTGGAACTGAACATGCAGTCGCCCAATCCCTTGAAGAGGTAAAAATTAACAGAAATTAGCCAAAGCAATCTCAATTTCTATTTTCTATCTATTTTTTTGGAATAAAACTTCTTTAGACGCGACTAGGGTGTAAATCCGTACAAATGCAACGGAAGTGAGTTACGGCAGATAAGATAAGATAAGAGAAGAGTGCCAATGATTCGTCATTCGCTCTCGATGATATCATTTCTATACTGATCGATTGTGATTAGTCGTCGTGTATGTGAATAGAGATCTGTCGTTGTATGCGTACCAGCATCAACGTTGTATGCGTACCGATATCAACAAGAAAATCAGCATAAATAAATAAACATTTTAAAGTTACATCGTAGTACAAATCTCGATTTAATGAAAAATGCCTCCTGAATCAGAAGAATATTTTACCCTGTTCCTTGAAAATAATAAACAAATTAAACTTTCTGCCGTGTGCTAAACGTAAGTTTATTGATTAGAAATTATTTCTATATTATTCGTAGTTTCTATAAATCTTTGAAGTTATTAAAATGGAAAATATTATTTAGACAAGACAGATATTACAGCTGTTCAAAGAATGAGATTATATCGCCCGCAAAAAAGTAAAAAAAAATACAAGCAGTCAATAAATGTATGTTAATTTTAATTAACGAGTTCTTCAAACACAATTATTACATGATGAGTGAAGTTGTGAAAACAGTATTTGTTTAGGCGTTGTTTAACATAATCCATTGTGTGAACGAACATTTTAGAATTTATAAATCAGCAATTACTTTATTCTCTAATGAAGGTTCAAGTCCTAAATGCTAATTACAATGACAAACCGATCATGTCATATTTGAAGTATGACTTTAATTACATTATTGTTTTTAAATATTATGCATATTTTCAATGCTATTATAATATATAATTTATAATTTATCATTATATAAATGTGTATAATGATGGTTGATACTAATAAATGTGTGTATCTCGAGTGTTACCATACCAGTTATAAACATTATTCGAAATTGTTATATGATGTATTTATTTTTACTTAAATGCCATCTTGTATAGGAGCAAATAAGTTTTGCTTCAATCGCGTGTGAAACTTACGCGCACTCTTTTTTTCAGTAATTTTTCTTTTTTTTCAGTAATTTTTCATTTTTTTCAAGGTAAGAGAAAATGCAAAATGGGTCTCAAGAGATGGGTCAGAGCTCAAGAAATTTCTGGCTGAAAATTCTAAGTCTTCAGCAAACCAAAATGGTAAAAATGGTCAAAATGGAGCAGGAAAATGTGTGTGCAAATAATTTTAATGTATTTTTTTATGGATGACAGTCAATAGTTTTGTACAATATTTTTAAAATTTTATTGTTTAAAAAATAATAGTGTTAAAACAAGTTTTTATTTGTAATTCTTAATGTGTATATTGCAATTTTTGTATAAGATAAATAAATTTTTAACGAGTAGTAGTTGTGAATAAATTCCATGTGCCCTAAAAGCTGATATCAACAGCACTGAACAAAATTTTATTGGATTTGCCATAAGATGTTAAATTCAAAAAATGGTTTTAAAATTTTCTACTGACAAGCTAAATGACATAAAAAATAAGAAAAAGACTCTACTGACGAGCAAATTAAATGAGGACATAGAAAATTTGCTTTTTGGCAAGTTTTGACGTGTTTTAAAAATATTTGTAGTTATTTGGAATTTTTGTAAAAATATCTATTTTTTTAAGAAATTTTGCTATTTTTGGAAATTTTGGAATAATCTGAAAATTTTGAAATAATGTTTTTTTTAATAATTTTTGGAATTGTTTAATTTACAATTTTTCAATAAAATTTTGAATTTATTGGAAAATCGTGAAAAAGTTGGAAAATTTGTTTTTTTTTTTTTGAAATTCTGATTTTTTGTATTTTAAGAAAATACAAAACGGACTCTACTAACGAGCAAATTAAATAAGGACTTGGAAAATACACAAGAGGACTCTACTGACGAGCAAACTAAATAACGACATGGAAAATACAAAAGGACTCTACTGACAAACAAAATAATTAAGGAAAAGGGACTCTACTGACGAGCAAATAAAATAAGGAAGTGATAAATATAAAAAAGGACTCTACAGACGAGCAAATTATTTGAGGACATGGAAAATACAAAAAAGAACTCTACTGAGGAGCAAACTAAATAGGTACTTAAGAAATATAAAAAGGACTCTACTGACGAGCAAACTGAAACTGGACTTAAAAATTAAATTTATTTAGTTTAAGAATGATAAATGTAACAGATATTCTCAGTTATATATTTCATGAAAAAAATAAAAATATGAAAAATAATTACAGAGAAAAATAAATTTCAAGGCCAATAAATTTATTTGTGTTAAAATTTGCTGTCTGAATTTTTATTTATTACCTAACAACTTTGTTTAATTAGAAAATCTAAAAACGACGAAGAGTTTTTTTTACATATTAATTGTAATAAGACATATATAAAAGTAATTAGACATAAATAACCGAAATATTTCTATGTGTTAACTTTTAAATCACATTTTTAAATATTTTTTATTATTTACACTCAACATATATCTCAATCATAACTATTAGTACTTTTAATTTGGTTTTATTAAAATTCCTTTTATTTTATTTAATTTTTTGTGAATCTAGTTCGTTTACAATGTCATTAATCAAAATGACATTTACGTCAAAAAAAATATAAAAAAATGTTTTAGATAAAAATTTATACAAAAATTACAAAAAAATAGCAAAATTCAGAAAAACCAAGTCTTCATTGTATGAAGCAAAAAAGTTAGACACAAAAAGATTTTGATTATTAAAAGGATATAAAGAAAATTGCAAAAAAATTACAAAAAAATAGTAAAATAAAATGAATTGCAATAATGGGAATAAAAAGGAATTCAAAAGGCTTTCTAGAGATGTCTTGCCAACACATTACACTTTGCATGTTATGCCTAATTTGCAAGAATTAACGTTTGTTGGAAGATGTTCCACAAATATCGAGGTAATAATAAAAATATTTATTTTGTAAATGTCTTAGAGCCTTAACATATTCAAAAATATGTTTTTTTAGATTGCTTTTTCATTAAATTATTACAGCAACTAAACTAAAACTAAGTCATTTTTTATATTTTTCATGTACTTATTTCGTTTGCTCGTCAGTAGAGTCCTTTTTTGTATTTATTGTGTTTCTATTTAATTTGCTCGTCAGTAGAGTCCTTTTTTGTATTTTCTTTTCTATTCTTATTTAATTTGCTCGTCAGTAGAGTCTTTTTTCGTATTTTCTTGAAAATAAAAATCAGAATTTCAAAAAAATAAAATTTTTCAACTTTTTCACGATTTTCAAATAAATTCAAAATATTCTAAACAACTTGTAAATTAAACATTTCCAAAAATTATTTCAAAAAAAACACTCAATTTCAAAAATTTCAGATTAGTTCAAAATTTCCAAATATAGCAAAATTTCTTAAAAATAGATATTTTTACAAAAATTCCAAAAAAACACAAACATTTTTAAAACACGTCACAACCTCCCAAAAATCAAATTTTTTATGTCATTAATTAATTTGCTCGTCAGTAGAGTCCTTTTTTGTATTTGTCACGTCCTCATTTAATTTACTCGTCAGTAGAGTTCTTTTTCCTTAATTAATTTGCTCGTCGGTAGAGTTCTCTCTTTCATCTTGTAGGATTTATATTATATTTTCAACTCGAGATTTAGTTTGCTCGTCAGTAGAGTCCTTTTTTATTTTTCATGTCCTTATTTTGTTTGCTCGTCAGTAGAGTCCTTTTTTGTATTTACCATGTCGTTATTTAATTTGCTCGTCAGTAGAGTCCTTTTTTATTTTTCATGTCCTTATTTAGTTTGCTAGTCAGTAGAGTCCCTTTTAAAACAATTTTTTGAATTTAACATTTCATGGTGAATCCAATAAAATTTTGCATCAGTGCTGTTGATATTAGCTTTTAGGGCATATGAAATATATTCACGACTACAACTCGTGTTTATATGTAAATACGCCTGATCGCACAGCAATTAGATTAGCATTTTAACAGTTTTTCATGACAATACTATTTTTTGAGGCAGAATTGTCCTTTATTCATGTTATTATTATTTCTTTTTTAGATTTGTCGATGCACAAAATCGATAACCCTAAATACAAAAGGGTTGGAAATAACTTCGGCAAAGGTTACTGCAGATGATAAAGAGATCAATTTTTGTGGAACCGAATACGATGATTACAATGAAACTTCTACTATATGTTTCGAAGAAAATTGCCTTGCAAAAGGGCTGTTTTGGTCACGGAATTTGGTGGTGTGCTCAGTGATGATATGACTGGATTTTATAGGTAAAAATAAATATTTGTAAAAGGTATAGAATAATTTTGCATTCTTATTATACTACTTGTAAGATTATACTAAGATAAGCATAATATCTATAAGTCTATTGATTTTTTTCATATGTCTATGTATGTTCAAAGTTACATCTAATGGTTTGGTTCAAAATTTTAACCAAAATAACTCAAAATAGGGAAAATAGATTTATAGTTCTATTTTATTTTTATCTGAATTTGTCCAAAATCCCATAAAATTTTTGTTAGCTGCTTCTTTCACTTATATACTACACAAAAAGACTCTACTGACGAGCAAATTAAATAAAGGCAAGGAAAATACACAAGAACATGGAAAATACACAAAAGGACTCTACTGACAAGCAAAAAAAACAAGGACATGAAAAATACACAAAAGGACTCTACTGACAACTAAACTGAATAAGGGCATAGAAAATAAAAAAGGGACTCTACTGACGAGCAAATTAAAGACTGCATAAAATATACAAAAAAGGACTCTACTGACGAGCAAATATTAAATTAAATAAAGACAAGGATAATATAAAAAAGGACTCTACTGACGAGCAAATTGAATAAGAACGTGGAAAATATCAAAACGAACTCTACATACATCCACGTTTGCAATAAATAAATTAATTTTTTTATTTTAATATTTTTTTTTTATATATTAATTAAAATACTTTAGAAATATTTATACTGGATAATAATTTATGGCTAAACAACTTTTGCCGGGCCAGCTTGTATATATAGATTGTTTTTTTAAGGTTGAGACACGTTTGCAGTAATAAACATTCGTCGAATTAAAGAATAATTCTTTATTTTTTATTTTGAATATACGTTTCGACACTTGATGTGTGTCATCATTCAGCCAGGGCAAAAACAGTGATTTTAAAAGCTATCATGTCTTTTGCTTGGAAGCATGATGTCTTCTGCTGATTTCGTTTGTTTAAAAATAATTTTTCAAAACAAATTTTAGTGTTTTGTGTTTTTATTTTTATAATAGTTGATTTGCTAGATGAAGACACACGTCAATTGTCGAAACGTATACTGAATAAAAAATGTTGTTTCCTTTTGAATCTTTTTTATTTTGACGAATGGGCAACTAATTATTCCAACTGGTGCAGATAAGTGTCACCATTCAGTAAATCAAATCAGGAGAAACCAAAACATAAATTTTGTACAATATTTTTTTAAAAATAGAACATAAGAACTAACAAAATTATCATGCTAAGTTGCTAACTATATTAAATGCATGTGAAAGACTACGTAATAAGTTCCAATAATAGACCCTAAACAGCAGTATCATAATCTTCTAGTTTTGCCCAAATTCAATGTAGAATTTCATATTTCAATTTCTAGAGTGTTGGAACCACATTCTGGCGAAGAAAAACGATATGGGGCATCGACGCAATTGAGGCGACTTACGCCAGGCATTGTTTTCCCTGTTGGACGACCCATCGTTCAAGGCAACTTTTGATGTCATCCTTACAGTACCTGATGGTAATAATTTAATAACTTCATTCAGCAATTCTTAATATAGAACTGGTTAGTTATGTCATTTATTACTAGGGTTAACTGCACTATCAAACATGCCAGTAAAATCGCAAAGTGTCTGTCGAGGAAGAAGGACATTGACATATGAAACGACACCGGTGATGTCTACTTATTTACTTGCTTTTGTCATCGGAGAATACGACTATGTTCAAGGGAAAAGTAAAGAAGGAGTACAGGTAATAATCAGTCCCTTTGTCAACAGCCCATTGTTATGACAAGGCCATGTTATGCACCGGCTTCCGTAAATTATGCTACCGAATCATACTGATTACTGTCAAAATGTCATGTATTTGCTGTGCATTCAGGCGTTTTACACATAACCTGCAACGTCACTCGTATGTTATGAAACTGAGTCAGACAGACCCTGTTATCTTAGATAGTTTTGATGACATTTGTGCGGTTTTCGAGTTAGGTTTTCTATCTGACGACCTGAGAAATACGCCTGAGTGCAAAGCAACCGCATGGCTTTTTTCAATATTCAGTATGGAAAGTTCTCCATAACCATAGCCTAGCCATAACATTGGTCTGTTATTATGATGAAATATAATCAATAATTGTTTTTATAGATTCGTTGTTATACCCCAATCGGAAAACACGACATGGGTACCTATTGTGTAGAAATCTCCGAAAAATGTTTAACCTACTTCAATGAATACTTCGACATCGAATATCCGATGAAGAAAATGGATTTGGTTTCTGTCAATGAATTTAATGCTGGTGCCATGGAAAACTGGGGACTTATAACATTCAGGTAAAAAATTTACCTCTTAGTTCCAGGTATTATGTAATCATTTTTATTAATTGCTTAGGGAACGACTAGTGTTGACAAACATCAAAGAATCGAATAAATTCGACTTGTTCCGAGTCGTGGCAACAGTCGGTCATGAAATTGCCCATCAATGGTTTGGAGATTTAGTCACTATGGAATGGTAAAAATAATAACAAATATTTGAAATCTGGTTCTTGACCATTTTAAGTAATATATCATTTTTCCAGGTGGACACATTTGTGGCTAAACGAAGGCTTTGCCACATTTATGCAATACATATGCGTCAATGAAACGATTCCTGAGAGCGAAATTTGGACGTCGTTTGTGATGGATCCCTTCAACACGGGTAAATAATTTTTTTTTTAATAATTTCCAAATTTTTTTTAACAATATAACATTTTTTTCAGCCCTGACAGCAGATGCTATGGACAGTTCCCATCCCATAGAAGTTGAAGTTGGACATCCCAATGAAATTGATCAAATTTTTGACGTAGTTTCTTACAAAAAAGGCTCATCTGTGATACGAATGTTAGCCACTTTTGTTGGGGAAGAAAAATTCAGAGAAGGTAATTAGATTTTGTTAATTGTCATATTTAGATATTTATTACTACTGCTTGATATCAAGTTTCATAATGGCAGGATATCAAGTTTCATAATAGTAACTTTATAGATACTAACGACTTATTGCTTAAAAAAAATCTTCAATGAATTAAATTTAAAAAAGATTTTTGCAAAAAATATATATTGTAATACTTACTACCAATAATATTTTACTACCATTTTCTTCCAAAATCATTAAAAATTTTGTGAAAATTTCTTATTTCAGTTTTAAATGAAATATAGGGAACGTTATGAAAAACTTTTCATACTGAATATTGACAAAAGCCATGCGGTTGCTGTGCAGTCAGATAAAAAATCTATTCTACAAACCGCACAAATGTAAAAAAAAAAACGATGTTAGATAACAGGGTCTTTCTGACTCAACTTCATAACATACGAGTGACATTGCAGTTTATGTGCAAAACGCCTGAGCGCACAGTAAATACATGAAATTTTGACAGTTTTCAGTATGATTCGGTAGCATAATGTATGGAAGTTGGAGCATAACATGGCCTTGCCATAACATTTTTCAGTTATGCGACAGAATTGGTTCAATAATCTAAATTTTATTTTAATTTAGGTCTTAGAATTTATTTAAAAAGACATAAATATGGAAATACTGTGACCGAAGATTTGTGGCAAGCACTTGAAGAAGCCAGTTGTAAGCCAATAGGTAAGATTTTATATTATATATTTTTTATTTTTTCACCAAAATTCCTAAGGCCTACTCTCACAAAAATTCTAATTGAATTCTTATCAGATTCAGAATCTTGTTAGATCCCTACAAGAATCTTTTTAGACTCTCTACAAAATCTTAAATCTCACAAGAATCGTATCAAAATGCTAATAGAATCTTATTAATTGCTAAGCATTTAATTAGAATCTCAAAAAAAATCATCCAATTCTCACAAGAATAATTGATCTAAACCTACAAGAATCCCTCTTAGACTCTTGACAGAATCTTAAATCTCGCAAGAATCCTATCAAAATCATCACAGAATCTTATTAGATTGCTAAAAATTTAATTGGAATTTCAAGAAAAATTCTCGCAAGAATCTTTCATTTAAACCAGCAAGAATCTAATTATCGTCTCAACAGAATCTTAAATCTCACAAAAATCCCTTCAAAATCCAAACAGATCAATTTTAGATTGCTAAAAATTTAATTAGAATCAAGAAAATCATCCAATTCTCACAAGAATCTTTCATCTAAACTTACAAGAATCTCATTAGACTCTCGACTCTTAGATAATTGATCTAAACCTACAAGAATCCCATTAGACTCTTGACAGAATCTTAAAACTCACAGAATCTTATCAAAATCCCAACAGAATCTTATTAGATTGCTAAAAATTTAATCAATATCTCATGAAAATCATCACAAGAATCTTTTTCAAAACTTCACAGAATTATTTAAGATTTTGTCTGGATTCTTATTAGGTCCATATTAGTTTCTCACAAAATTTTATAGATTCTGAATTTAAGAGAATCTATATAGATTTCTGTAATAAGATTCATTTAATTCCTACAAGAATCTCATTAGATAGACAATTGTGATTTAGCTATATTGGGAACAGTTCAATATTTATGTTTGGAGGATGAATTAACAAATTTTGGGAATTCCAAGAATGCTAAATAATTTTAACTTATATTTTCTAAACACATTTATTATTTCAAACACACTTTTAATACAAGATCATCCAAACATTCTTCAAAAAATATTGTTTAACTGGTTCCCTACAGTATAAACAAATTTAGATTTATTTTTAAGCATTTCACACGTAAAACTTAACTTCACGTTTTTGTTATCAAAGAGACAAAAAAATATTCACTTATGATAAAATTGTTACTTGTGCCATTTGGAGGTTAGATTTTATGTGTGAAACCCTTCGCACAGCTAGTAATAATATTCATAAAGCAATTTATTTCCTATTATTTTTTTTCTATATTAAAGCAAAAATCATGGGCACCTGGACCAAACAAATGGGCTTTCCTCTACTCAACGTTTGCATGAAACAAGAAGGTGAAAATCGAATAATTACATTGATGCAAGAAAAATTCAATGCCGATGGCAGCCGGGATCAAAATCAGACCAAATGGATTATACCAATTAGAATCCTCACTCAAAGTTGTGCCTGCCAGGTAATAATCTACATATATATAAAATAAGTCGAGATTTCCTTCCTGACAATATAACCCCAGAACGCACGAACCGAATTTCGACAATTTTGCATTCGTTGGAAAGGTCTCGGGCTCCGCAAGTTTATATCTAAGAAAATTAGTGGTGCATGGCATCGTGCCCTAATGCAAATTGCTGGAACTTCACGCACCGTAATTGAAAATTCGAGTAATGACATTAGTGAGAATTATCAGAATTATGCTTGGTTAAGTCAACGAGCAATTTTGTCGCAAAGAATAATTATGTACACGCACTGAATTTCACCATTCAATCAAAAATTGCTGGCGATTTGGTGACATACCAATGATTCCGACTGGTCTTCCGTTTGACTTTAAACGATTGCAATTTCCAGTTCGCCTTGCGTTCGCAATAACAAGTCTCGAGGCCAATCGCTTAGTGTTTGCGGGATAAATTTCAAATAGATTTTTAAAAAATCATTGTTTTCACATGAGCAGTTATACGTTGCCTGTTCACGAGTTGGAAAACCATCCGCTTTGTTTGTGTTAACGTCAGACCAAAAAACAAAAAATGTGATTCACCAAAGAGCACTTCAATGAAACGGATAATTTGCGGATTCACTTTCATTTACTAAGAGAAGTTCAACTAAAAAACACTTCATTTTTGTAATCGAAATAAATTCAACACTGTTATGTAATAAAATCAAATTTTTTCTTTTCAAATATAAAACAAACAAAAAATTTCTTCATCTTTCTCACGAAACCATCTGGTGGCGAAACGGAGTTCGTCGGTTTTGCTAGTCTAATATAAAATCATTCCAAGCCATATTACGAGAAATCTGACAACAGGATTAAAAATCTCACCTCTGCGTTGTTGTCAGATTTCTAGAAATATTGCTTTAACCAATTACTGATTATATTTTCTTTGCCCAGGATGACGATATTCCTACAATGGAAAAGACATGTATGAAAATCACTCTTGCCGGAGTAAAACCGGATGAATGGGTCAAACTGAATCCGGGATCAATTGACTTTTACAGGGTTTTGTATACTGATGAAATGCTGGAGCAATTGATACCATCGATAAGAGATTTGTCACTACCTGTTGCTGATAGAATTGGTGTTTTGAATGATGTTTATGCCGTTTGCCAATCTGGCAGACAACCGATAGCCCAGGTAAAAATATATAAAAATTTATTAAATTAGTAAATATGTACAGGGTGTCCCAGAACTCAACGTCAGGCCAAAAGAAACGTATAGTTTTGGTTGTAACTATCATGAAAAATTAGAAGAAAATTTGTTTAATGTATTTGGAAAATTGTGAGCTTGCAGGTACAAGCTAGAGCTTTTGTAGAACTGCAACAATTTTTTGGTTATTGTGGTTACATTTTATCAATTTTTTTAGTTTAAACTTTGTATTCGTAACCGTAAATAATATTTCTAAGACCACAGCCCAAAATAATGACACTGTTGCGCCAAGTTTTCCAAAAATCAACACTTTTTGTAGACCTATCACTTCAAAATTTTTACAATGTGTCAAGTTTGAGAAGCCCTGCTTTAAAAAAAAATGTACTAAAGTATGTTGGCAAGTTACATCAAAATTTAGTGCATTTAATCAGGATTGTAAAATAGTAAAACACTTGATGCAGAGTGTCCCAGAACTCAACGTCAAGTCAAAACGAGATGCAAAAAAATTATTTCATGCGCTTGGAAAATTTTGAGCTTGCAGGTGCAACCTAGAACAGCGACGATTTTTTGCTTATTGTGGTTAAATTTTATTAATTTTGATCATATTAACTTTGGATTTATATTACTAAATAACATTTCTAGAACCTCAGTCCAAAATAATGAAACATTTGCCTCAAGTTTTCCAAGAATCAACACTTTTTCTTCACCTGTCACTTCAAAATTTTTACAATGTGTCAACTTTGAGAAGCCCTGCTTTTAAAAAAATGCACTAAAGTATGTTGGCAAGTTGCATCAAATTTTAGTGCATTTAATCAGGATTGTAAAATAGTATAACACTTGATAGTTTTGTAATAAAAATCTAAGAAAATATTAACACGTTCACACAATGACGAGTTGAATGCACTGGTATTAACAATGTTATTTTTCGGTTTTTATTGTTTACTCAGGTTTATTATTGACATTACTATAAAGTATTTTACCATTTTACAATCTTGATTAAGTGTGCTAAATTTTGATGCAACTTGCCAATATACTCTAGTACAATTTTTTTACAAGAGCGCCTCTCAAAGTCAACCCATTGTAAAAATTTTAAGTTCATGGCTTAACAGAAAAGCTTTAATTCTTGAAAACTTGGGTCAATTTGGTCATTATTTTGTACTGTGGTCCTCGAAATGTTATTCACGTTTACGTTTCTTAAATTTAAACGCACAAAATTGATAAAAATTGACCACAATAATCAAAAAATTGCCGCAGTTTCACCAAAGCTCAAAATTGCACTTAAGAGCTTTGTGAATGGATTTCATTAGTTTCTGCTTGACGTTGAGTTCTGGGATATCTTGTATATATAAAAACTAATAATGTATTAATTTTTTATAGGTTCTCAATCTTTTAAAATCCTACAAAAACGAAATCCACGCCACAGTTTGGGAATGTATAGACACTTGTGTAAAGCCTTTATATGATCTTTCAGCTGCTTGTGAATGCCAGGTAAAAATTATATTTTGAAATAATATAAAGCTTTTAATAATTTAAATTTTTTAGCAATGTAGAATATAAAATTCAATACCAAAAAACAAACAAACCCAAAAACAGTCTAAATCTTTTGCCAATAATTTTTAATCTAAGAAATTTTGAAAGACAGCCTCGATGTATTATTACATGTCGGGCTTGAAAAAATAAATGATTATTGAATATAATCCATAAAAATTAAGAATGTATTTGTTTCCAAAATTCTTAAAATTTGTAAAAAAGTATTTTCAAAAATGTAACTTTTGCCTTCAATCACTTCCAAAAATATCAAAAACAAAATATGCAATTTTGATGAAAATGTTTACTCGTGAAATAATTTTTTTGTCAATTTTTTATATAAATTTTAGGATGAATTTGCGTTGTTCGCCCTGGATTTATATTCAGAAATTAAAAAACGAGTGTCCTTCGACATTTATCCTGGTGACCAATATCTAGATTGTGCATTACGAGATCGTATCATCAATAGATTGGTCGATTTGAAAGATGAGGAAACACTGAACGAAGCCAAAGCTAGGTATGTAAAAGAAATCTTTAGATTTTGAAATTAAATGACAATACCATGTCAGTGCCAGGACTCGAACTGAGCACCCTGGCGTGTAAGTCAAACATGCAACCGACTGAACTATTTAACAATCTAAATTCTCTTTAATTTTAAACCAATAAATCAAAAATGACTATTCTATATCAGTGCCAGGACTCGAACCGAGTGTCCCTGGCGTGTGAGTCGGGCATGCTACTGACTGAGCTATTCAACAATCTAAATTCTACTAAATTTCAATCCGAAAAATTCAATGACAAATCTATGTCAATGCCAGGACTCTAACCAAGTGTCCCTTTAAATTCTATCCAAACAGTCAATAACAATTTTGCCAATCCCGGGACTCGAACCGAGTATTCATGGCGTGTGAATTCGGGCATGCTACTGACTGAGCTTTTTAACAATATAAATTCTACTTAATTTCAATTCAACAAATCAAAAAAGACAATTGTATGTCAGTGCCAGGACTCGAACCAAAGATCCCCGGCGTGTGAGTCGGGCATGTTACTGACTGAGCTACTCAGCAATCTAAATTTTACTTAATTTTAAACCAGCAAATTAAAAATGAAAAATCTAGGTCAGTGCCAGGACTCGAACTGAGTATCCCTCTAGTAATTTCAATCCAACAAATCAAATGACAATTCTATGTCAGAACCAGGATTCGAACTGAGTGTCCCTGGCGTGTGAGTCAGGCACGCTACCGGCTGAGCTATTTAACAATCTAAATTCTACTTAATTTCAATTCAACAAATCATCAAATGACATTCCCATATCAGTGCCAGGATTCGAACCGTGTATCCCTGGCGTTTGGGTCGGGCATGCCACTGGCTGAGCTATTTTCGTCACAACGTCGAAATTGATTATATGATTTATTTTATTTTATTTTAATCAAACAAATCAAAACTACAATTTTATGTCTGTGCCAAAACTCGAACCGAGTATTCCTTTAATTTCTATCCAACAAATCAAATAACAATTCTGTCGGTGTCTTCTAGCCTATAGGTCGGTCGTGCTACTGACTAAGCTATTGAACAATCTTAAATCTACTTAATTTAAGACCTACAAATCTAAAATGATAATTTTACGTCAGTGCCAGGACTCGAACCAAGTGTTCCTGGCGAGTAAGTCGGGAATGCTACTGACTGAGCTATTTGACAATCTAAATTTTACTTAATTTAAAACCTACAAATCAAAAGGCAAATCTATGTCAGTGCCAGGACTCGAACTGAGTGTTCCTGGGGTATGAAGTCGTGTGAGCTACTAACTGAGCTATTGAACAATCTTAAATCTACTTAATTTCTAACCAACAAAACAAATGACAAAAGTATGTCAGTACCATGACTCGAACCGAGTGTTCCTTTAATTTCCATCCAACAAATCAAATAACAATTCAGTTAGTGCCAGGACTCGAACTGAGTGTCCTTTTAATTTCTATCCAATAAATCAAATAACAATTTTGTCAGTGCCAGGACTCAAACTTAGTATCCTTGGCCTGTGAAGTCATCAATTTAAATTCTACGTAATTTCAATATGACAAATCGAATGACAATTTTATATCTATGGCAGGACTCGAACTGAGTATCCTTGGCCTGTGAAGTCATCAATTTAAATTCTACGTAATTTCAATATAACGAATCGAATGACAATTATATATCTATGCCAGGACTCGAACTGAGTATCCTTGGCCTGTGAAGTCATCAATTTAAATTGTACTTAATTCTATCCAACAAATCGAATGACAATTCTATATCCATGCCTGGACTCGAACCGAGTATCCCTCCAGTAATTTCAATCCAACAAAGAATATGACAATTTCATGTCAGTGCCAGGACTCGAACTGAGTACCCCCGGCGTGTCACTACAAATATTTTTCTTTTTCACTATTTCCATTTTTTTTTTCTAGATATCAAGATGACGTTTCCGGAAACCGTCCCCTGAATCCGGACATCCGGAACGCCTGTTACGCCGCCGCCCTGACGACGACCGATCCTAAAATTTGGAAGAATCCTTCGAAAGATATCGATCGGAAAGAAATAATGCAACCCGAAATTTGATACTCAAAAAAATGGGTTGTGTACAATCCGAAGAGCTACTGACAAAGGTTTTGGAGTTCGGCTGGGGATCTGATGTCCCTAATATGGATTTCCCGATATTGCTCGCCGGAGTTGTATCCAGTCCGGTAATATAAATAAACTAGTGGTGTATGGCATCGTGCCTTAAGACAAATTGCTCGAACTTCCCGTACCGTAATGAAATAATCGAGAAATTTTAAACGTTTTCAAATATATTATTACAAATACTGTAACATTCATTATTTTTGCTATCATGTTATATCTGAGCAAATCACATGTAAATCATAAATCAATTTATCTCCAGAACATTAACAATAGTCATTTCATTTCGAATTCAATTTCAAAAAAATAGTTTAGTTGCCTAATTTACGCAAAATTGACATATAGTCACAGTCTAAACTGAACGCATTTGCGAATAATTCTGTGCAACATTTTCACTTAGACTGTGCTTAGCTTGGCGGCATTTTCACATTTTTCAATAGTTTTCACAAAATTGGAAATGTGCTCCATACATATATAGTCTAAACGCACTTGCGTAAACATTTGTACCAGAGTGGCGCTTAGACTGTGCTTAGTTAGGGTAATTTTTTGAATTTTTAACTTCCCGTAGTTATAGTAATCGCAAAAAAAATTTTATATATCTTTACGTTTCAGAGGTTTCTAAATATTTTGCATAGCATAGAGAAAAAATGGTTGTATGTGTGTGTGCATGTGTCTGTGTATGTGTGTGTGTGTGCGGATACAAATTTTCATCGACAATTTCGGGAACACGGATGAAGCGATTTGGATAATTCAAAAAACATTCGATTCGTATTGATAAGGAGACGTGCTGATTAGTTTTTGGCGATTTGAAAAATTCAAAAAAACATTTTACTGTATTATTAACAAGATGAAGAACTGATCAAATTTTCATGAAGGCAGGTCTAGCAGTTTCGGAGATCTAGTAAAAAAGTAAAAAAAAATGCCATTTTGGCGGTCAAAAATGATCATTAGACATATGCACATCAAATTATCAGATATTTTATAGAGATTTTAACAATAAGTATAATTTTGGTTTACTTTCCTATGGGTTCCGTACCAATGTTTACGCGTTAGACGTCGACGCGGCGCTTACGCGTTTGATATTCGTCTTTATGCAGTTAAAGAAGTACGATTGCTTTGAAAAAAAGTTTAGATCTTTCAAAATATGTCAAAATAAAGAAAAAAAATTATAAAAAAAAAAAAAATTAAAAAATTTTTTTTCAAAAAAAAGTTTTTTTTGTCTAATTGTTTGTTAAAATCTTATTTTTCGAAGTAAATTTTTTTCAAAAATGTTAATCGTTTTTAAAAAAATATAATTTTTGGTACGGGAAGTTCCAGCTATTTGCCTTAAGGCACGATGCCTAATTGCCTTAAGACAGAATTCCACTTACAGCTAGT